AAGACTTGTTTTATAAGATTCTTATAATATTTTGTTAAGTCGTTGCACATAATACTATAAATTAAATTATTCATTATATTACACAATCTTACTGATTTGGAAGCTTACATGTAAGATCTTAATTGTATCATTAATCGCACAAAATATTTTATAATGCAATCGCAAATACAATTTAATAAAATATAATAAAATTTGAGTATTATAGTGCAACAAATAGATCGTAGATTAATATATCTAGTTAATAGCGGAAATTGAACTAGTCTATTAATTTGATAATCAACTAATGAAATTATTGTACTTGAGAACACTTACTTCAATTACATTTCATACGAAATTGTAACTTCTATTACAATAAAGTATTTCTACATAATTGAATATGGTAAAAGATTAGAATTATGGCATTCAATTAAGTTAATTTTATACTAAAGTCACACAATAATCCTGTATATAATTTTTCCAATATATTAATACAAAATTATAATTGCATTTTTGTAAAGATATTTATTGTAATACCAAATTCTTTAACAAGTGGTATTGCTTTTCGAATTAAAAAAGGTTTGCATATAAACAATGTTGCATGTATATTGACTTATATTTCCATATTATATTGGTCCAAAGCTAACTGAGTAGGTGACTGTAAAGTCGGATTTCTCTGTTAAATGAAGACAGAGTATATTCTGTAATAGAAACATGTTTGTACAAATAGCATATTTTTGTTTCCTTAACAAATTATGGTAGTAAAAGATACTCGAAAAAAGATACGTTTTCTCAACATTATTTTTCTATTGAATACGCTGTAATAGATACGATGTATTAAAATATAATACCACATCATATTAGAATTGTAAAAAGCTAGTCTTATCGACATTTTATATTATCATGTGAAAAATTTAATATTGCAAACTGTTTGCACATATTTGTAAAAATGAGATATGCCTCTAATGGCGCAATTATTTTGCATGAATGTCCAGGTACATCCATGGAAATACTTTCTATCCTGAATTATTTACTCAGGACGAATGTAACGTCAGTTCACATCACGATAATAGATGTATTTCATTTTTAACGTCTCGAGTATCATTCAAATTATACTCTAAACCAGGTAATAATGTATTTAGCACTTTAAGTACCAGCCTAGCGAAAATTTAATTATTTTCAAACAATTTCATTCTGAGGATTCTTGTTTATAACTATTAATTATCAACTTACTTCTGATCAAGATGGATTGTACATTTTATCTATCTAATCTCTTATTCCCTACACACATCTATCAAAAACAAACAAAAAGAAAAAGGAGAACATATGATTCACAATTCAAAGAAATAACACTAGTACCTATTTCAAGACTTTTGCTGTGGGCAAATTATTTTAAACTAAACTATGAATAACAGTAAACACATTTGAAAGGAATACGCTCTCCTTACACAGTTTCATAGAGTACATTTTTAGGAGATTTGTGTCTAATACGGTACATTTGAAAACAGGTACGATACAGATTCACCATTGTGAGTCCGTCTTACAGCTTCGGCAAACATCATTGATACATCAATGCACTAAAAGAGATATGAATTATATATTCCACTGAAAACCCCTATTATTAAAAAATACACGTTTCTTTTGTTAGTCATCATCTATCTTACCTGTATTTTTGGACAATCTTTCATATGACCATCTTGAGGAATAGTATTTGTTACTACAACAGCTTCGAAACATGCATTATTAATTCTGCTTATTGCTGGACCACTGAAAATACCATGTGTCAAAATAGCATAAACTTTTGTAGCACCGGCCTCCAGCAGTTTTTCTGCTGCGTGACAAATAGTGCCACAAGTATCAGCCATGTCATCTACTAGGATGGCAACTCTATCTTTTACATCTCCAACTAATACCATACTGGCAACTTCATTTGCTTTCTTCCTTTCTTTATGTATAAGCGCAAACTCAACGTTTAATCGATCAGCGATGGACGTTACCCTGATCAAACGAAAATCCGTTAATACATTTATTTATGAGAATTGTAAATTTTGGTGTACCTTTTAGCACCACCCGCATCCGGAGAAACGATAATACTATTCCGCCATTCAACAATATTTTCCTTAATCCATTTTAACACTGCAGGTTCAGCAAATAAGTTGTCAACTGGAATGTCGAAAAATCCTTGAATTTGACTAGCATGCAAATCCATTGTAATGATGTGATCAGCTCCTGCTACCGAGAGCATATTTGCTACCAATTTTGCAGAAATAGGTGCTCGACTCTGGAAAACAAATAATTGAAGATTTCAATTTCATAAATTTATGCGAGTCTCTCAAGTCCATTTGCAACTGGAAATTGATCCTGCAATTTGAAAAAAATTGCTGTTAAAAAATATTTGTAACATTGCAGAAAAATTATAAATCAAGAAATAAAGTAAAACCCAATACATTGTCTATAAAGAAGACACATCAAAGAACAAAATTCGAAGAATTAAGTCTTTAGAGGGGACAAAATATGAATACAATGGCTATATTCAAAAAATATTTGTTATAAGTAGATTGTACATGTGTACGTAAGAAAAATTAAAAGAAAAACAGTACGTTGCAAATGCACCCCAGTTAGACTCAACAAAAACTATAAGTAAAGCAGAAATCAAACTTATAAACGGAAAATGGAACACAGTGCATTTTGATTCTTAAATTTTATGTAAGGAGATTTTAGGATATATGGAATAATAGAATAAATATATCTTCTTGCAAGTTAAAATTATGACAAAGGAAATAACAAACAGATTAATAAATAATTATAGATAAATCTTATAACAAAATAAAGTGCACAGAATAAATGCATTGTGCTCAGGGAAATTACTTCAATTAGATCATTTTAACCAACTTGTCTGTTGAGAGCATAAACTTCACAAAAGCCGACTAACGTTAACACCTTAAAAAAAAATTGTGTTCACAAATCATTTAATTGGCTTCGCATACTATTAATAAGGCGACACAATCACAATTTTCTGTTGCCAAAGCACTATTCTGTTAATTAGATAGGCAAATTTTTTATTAGTATGTTTGGACAATAACATTTTTAGCAACATAATAATTAGTACCCATATAACATACAGTTGTGTACCCCGTTATATGTACATGAATTATTAAAAATATATATATAATGCTATTATATTAATATTTTGCCCTCTCATTCAAATATCAATACGCTTTGACCAAATATTTCATTCATTCATTCATTCATGGGGGTACCATTGTGCCATACAGCAACAATTATAAGTTTTGTTAGTCCTACAAAGAAAATTCTGTAAGAAACTAAAAAGTGATATTACAAATCGAATTGTTCATCGAGTTATAGTTACAAACGCTTCACTCGACAATCTAATTGCTCTTATACTCACTGTAGAGAGGTCGGGCACAAAATCCTGAAAATACCCAACTATTCAGAAATTGAATACCATGTATTACAAATCTTTTATTAAGAAGACATATTTTTAATAGTCTTATAATACAATTAATTAGAAAACTATGTTGTATTTGAAAATTTATTTGAAAATTGCTTGTCTAAAGCCAGGGTTTATATTATTTTATTTGTAAATATTTAATGTATATTTACAACGTAATTGCATTATCTTGGTAGTATTGCATGCTCTATTAAATCTTCATAAAATTCATTATTTTTCCTATATTTATCTTTTTAAAATATTGTATCATGCGGTAAATAATATTTTATATGAATCATAATAATAATTCGTTTAATTGACAAATTTAATAGAACAAAACATATTCAGTATGCAGTGATGTAGGTCTTACAATATCAACGCACTTAAGGCCCCCCTCGATGAATACTGATTTTGCAATGTTCAAATGGGTTATCAAACTTCTGATAACCCCAGATTATTTACCAGACGCAATGCTTCAGCTTATAATGTATTTATTGTTTACTGCTTCAGTAATTTGATTTTCAATACTAGAGATCAATGTTGCTCTTTAAAAGAAATAAAAAGTACTGTCCAGAATTTCAAGATGTTTCATTATAATTCATAGTTTCTTTTACATGTAAAATATAAAATGAAGCACTGCAATAATATTAGATGTATGAATTAACTGACATTACTGTTTACCAATTATTAATTCATGCATATACGCGAATGACTGAAACATTTTTCATGTTGAAAATTGATTTCCAAATTTTTAGAATGGTTTCTTAAAACTTTTTTAAATGTACAGTTAATTTTTGCAGTATGATGAGTACCCATAATTTTCTGTGTGCATGCTATACTATATTATCATTTCAATAAATACAACAGTCAAACTGATCCCACTGTAGAATTGCGTGTTACTTCTTACATAATATAATTTCCAAGTTGGTTCTTATATTAATATTTGTTAGCTACTTTTTATAGAAATAATATCTATTATACAGGACACAATGAATATTGTATAATTTAATTGTATCATATGGTATATCCCAATGAAATAAGCAAGAAAGTTGCAAGCATATTTTATGTGATGATGAAAAATCATGTTTTGCGTTCCAAAAATGATATTGCTCCATAGATCTGTTGCAAAAGCTATATAAAACAGTAAACAGAGCATAAAAAGACCGCTACAAGTTACCCTGAACTTCCACTCGTTTGACTTCATGACAATTTGATTCT